TCACACAAAAAAAAATCAAAAACACCCCCCCAAAAAAAAAAAAATTCACAACAATTCATCAAAAAGAAAAAAATTAAAAAAAACACCAAAAAAAACAAAAAAAAAAAAAAAAAACAAACAAAAAAAACAAAACAACACAAAACATTCCAAAAATAAAAAAATCAAAAAACAAAAAACAATTCAAACCAACAGAAAAAAAAAAAAACAAGTAAATCAAATCAAAAAAAAAAAAAAAAAACAAACAAAACAAAAAAAAAAAATTCAAAAAAAAGAAAAAACAAAAAAAAAAAACAAACAAAAAAACAAAAAAAAAAAACCCAAACACCAAAAAAAAAACAAAATAAAATCAACAAAAATAAAAAAAACAACAAAAAATCAACACAGACAAAACAAAAAAAAAACAACAAACACAAAACACAAACAAAACAAACAAAAACACAAAAAAAAAAAACAAAAACAAAAAAAAAAAAAACAAAAAAAACAAAATCATCAAAAATCAAAAAAAAAAAAAAAAAAATTCAAACAAAAAATAAAAAACAAAAACACAAAACAACAACATCAAAACAAAAAAGAAACAAAAACAAAACAACAAACCACAAAACAAATCAACAAAAAAAAAAACAAACAAAAAAAACAAAAAAAAATAAAAAAAAAAAAAAAAACATTCAAAATAAAAAAAAAACAAAAATAAAAACAAAAAAAACAAAAAAAAAGCAAAACATACAAAAAACAAAACCAAAAACATTTTCAAAAAAAAAAAAAAAAAAAACACATTCACACAAAAAAAAAACTCAAAAAAAAAAACAAAAAAAAACAAAACAAAAAACAAAAAAAAAAACAAAAAAACAAAAAAAAAACATACATCAAAAAAACAAAGAAAAAAAAATCAAACAAAAAAGAAAAAAAAACACAAAAAAAAAAACAAAAAAACGAAAAAAAAAAAAACAAAAAAAAAAACAAAAAAATCCAAACAAAACAAATTTCAAACAAACACAAACAATTCAAAAAACAAAAAAAAAAAAAAACACAAAAAAAAAAACAAAAAACACAAAAAAAAAAAATAAAAAAAAAAAATCCAAAACAAAAAAACAAAGCAAATCAAAATTCAAAAAAAATCAAAAAAAAAAAAGAAAAAAAATAATACAAAAAACAAAAAACAAAACACAAAAAACAAAAAACATTTCAACACACAAGCAAAAAAAAACAACAAAAAAAAAAAAAAACAACAAAAAAACAAACAAAAAGAAAATAAAAAAAAAAAAAACAAAAAAAAAAAAAAAATCAAAAAAAAAAAAACAAACAAAAAAACAAAAAAAAAATAATCAAAAAAAAAACAAAAAAAAAAAATAAAAAAAAAAAAAAAAAAAAAAAAAAAAAACAAACAAAAAAAACAAACAACAAAAAAAAAACAATCAAAACAAAACAAACACAACACAAAACACAAAAAAATTTCAAAAAAAAAAAAACCAAAAAAACAAAACATCAAAAAAAAAAAAACAAGAAATCCAAAAAAAAAAAAACACAATCAAAACAAACAAAACAAATATCAACAAACAAAAACAAAAAAACAAAAACAAACAAAACCAAAAAAAACAAAAAAAATCATTCAAAAAAAAAAAAAAATCAAATCAAAAAAAAAACACAAAAAAAAACAAAAAAATTCAGTGAATGGCAGAATTTCAGAAAATGAGAATGCGAGCTCTCAAAGATACCATACTACGACGTAAATTGAAAAGATTACAAATGAAAATTTAAAGGTGGCCCCTAATCCGTTTTCAGTAATGGGAGTAATCGTGGCTCTAAAATTCCGAACATTTGATGAATGTCATAATCAGGCCACATGGTCGTCACTGTGAGGTTATTTCCGGACGATGGTGTTACATAGAACCGTCTGGGTAGATGAGAACTTGAGAGAAGAGTACGAGAAGGGAGCGAGAGAGAGTGGAGAAGCAGGATAACGTTGCCATGATCATGACGTCGTGTAAAAAGTGTAGCTTTTAAATCGTTGTAAACCTGGTACCTGAAGTTTCTGATCACTTAGACTCGACAAGATCCTGATCCCCCTAAGTCGGGGGCTGGTTGGTCGGAGGAACAACCCCCACGCTAAGGATCAGGAACACACTAACAAGGTAATATTTGACAGAGGTAATACGGGTGTTTAGCAGCGGGACAACCCCCACAAAACCACTGTAACCACAAAGTTGTGTACAGTACGAGGGGGGTGGCAGCGCAGGACCAGTACAGATCCAGAGTAGTGCCAGAACCAGGTAAAGTACAAATTAGATAAAGAGTTGGGTAGAACACACTGCAGTGAAATGAACTACAGGGGAGAGACGAGTAAACAGAACATTAGCCGACTGTAGAGAGCCAACACGACCACTAGCCAACAAACCAGCACTACAACATCTCAGGGCTCTCCTCCTAGTCTGGCTCCTCTACAACTCCTGGTACCTCTCTCCTGGCAACCTCTCAAAACATGAAACCTTCTTCTTTGATGAACAGTCGGTTAGAACTTCATATCGTCTGCCATAGAACAATTGTGAGACAAGGGGACGGTCTCGTAACCAACCCGTACTGGTAAGCTGATACTGTACTGAGGAGGTGAAACCGCGAGAGATGGAGCAAACAGACGGTGGTAGGAAATGACGGAGAGGATCTAGACAACTTTAGGGCTCGATAGTTGAACACAAGATGTTGGTAAACACAGACATAATTAATCACTGACTTTGATTAATAAGATTCAAGTTATGCTATGTTGTGTAACCGTTGATTATATCATCAGGATGGCATGTAGTTACTAGTTAATGGTACAGCTGGAGGATATTTTAGAGGTTTATATTATGCAAACTCCTGCAAAACATTTGTTAGAGAATGGCTATTTATAGATATGTATTTGTGTTGACTTTCGAACCATCCTTTGTTTCTTAGAGTTCCCGGCCCTACAACAGGGAGAGCGAATGATAAAACAATCAATTGATAAAACGATCAATAATCAAAAGCTTAAAGCAGCTACAAGTCTCGAAAGTCGCTGCTTATCGTGGGAAACCTGAGCTTGACACCAGCCCTAGATACAGCTAAGGCACGTGAATAGGACATTACTGAGAAAATTAAACACTTGTCGTAAGTCGAACTTGATTGCCTAAAGTCTTAATGATGGTCTGTAATCCAGTTGACAGCGACAAGTGGACGTTACAGAACTAAGAGTCAGGGTTAGACCGATTAAAGTGAACAGCAACAACTTAACCAGGGTCTCCAGACACTCCCTTCAAGATTTAATGTTGCAATGATGCGACATATTTCCTGAAACACGTGCTGCTCGTTTTGTATTTAACTCGGACTCGAACGCCGACCATGTTAAATATACATTATTTTGGTGAACTTACAGGAAAAGTTACATTGTGGAAAAAGTAGATCTCTAATCCTGTAATTGGTTTGTTTCCAGACCTTGAGACCAAGGAAAGTGATTTCTTCAATCGGGCCAGCTTAACTCAAGAGCAGATAGGATAGGAGGCACGAAAGTGACTATGTTCGTATTATATAAATAATATTATTCCGCGGAAAAAGCTGTCAAAACAAAATACAGAGATCTGGCAACTGTTCTTGAATAAAATTCAAAAGAAGCAATCCTCGTTCACATTTTTACAAGCACTGTGAGCTGCAACAATCAGCATGTTTGGTGAATAACACTTGTCGTTACGCACAACAAGTCTAATGCACAACAACAGCACTACTAGTTATAATCTCACACCATTTTAAAACCGCCCAAAACCACTGCACTTAAAAACTCACACAGTCACAATAAAAGTTTGGGCAGATTTAAAAAGATAAAAACACAAAAAAACACAAAACAGTCCGGGGATGAGCTCACACACGAAGAAGAAGAGAATAATAAAAAAGAAGATAATAATAAAGGCGTGCCACCCGTCGTGCTGTTTTGCTTGTCAGCTCACAGCACAACGTGCTACACACAAAATAGTCAGCGAATATAGAGTCAGCACCACCGTATTATTATTATCAGCTAGAGCACTGTTTTCATCTTCACAACATGACCGTGATGTCACGTGACTGCTGGTAATAGTTATATAATGTGGTTCTGGTGATAACATCCGAGGTTTTAGTGATGATGGTCAAGTGAAAAACTAACTGTTGGATGTGTTGTTGGAATCACGCATATATCATAAATGATTATTAGTTTAATATTATTTTTTTGTTAGCAACTTATAATTTAGACTCTTATTTATTAGTAAAGACAAGTCTGATCACTACGTAAACGTAGAACAATCTAGAAACAATTTCACTAAACTGAAGAACACAAGGCCGACCCTACAAGATCTAGACGAAAAGTGATACAACTTAACAGTTCAGTCAAGAGACACAGCCCAATATATCATGCATCTATCAATCATATTACACGACAAACACTGGGTCTAACCAATTAGACCGATCAACCGTGATCACTAATAATAGACGGGCTGTGAAGTCAGTTTGACATGACGTAACAGTGTAGTAAGCATCTAGCATATTGACACCCTTAAATTAAGGTTAACAGTTTCGGCAAGCACGTCATTTTAAGTGGGACTCTTTTACCCGAAATAATGGGACTTTTAAACGGAGTCTTTTAATACTTTGAGCAATCGCCACAGTTGCAACTTGATAAACTGTAAATATTCACAGCATCCCCAAGCTCCTAAGTCAGTTCAGAGCATGTAATTAGCACCTACATTCCTTTTGCATACCTCGTTGTGGTCGTTGCGTATTTGACAGCACGTGTGAAAATTTAGCAGAGACATAATTCTGAACCTAAATGTGTTTCATAACCTACTACTGCCATGCAATATGCATCTGTGTTTAGTGTTGACAGTAGACTAAACACCAACAAGTTGAGACTCAAGAACGTAGGAACAACTGAGAACAACAGAGAACAAAAGAGAACAACATAGAACAACAAATATCAACAGAGAACAGAGAACAACACAGAACAACACAGAACAATCGCTAACCTGTTCTGTATTCTGGAGTGTAAATCTTCAGATTCTCATAGTGCGAATTGTCCGAGTGCCCCCCGAACATTGAGTACTCCTCTCCTCTTCTGGGGACAGGAGAGTACTCCTCACTAGCTCCTGTCACGTACTGTTCATGTCCGGCTGTGTACGAATCCTCTTCCCCGCAGAATCGGTAGTGATTCTCACGTTCACTGCACCCATAGTTGCGCTCAATGTGCTGCGCGGAGTGATCCATTGTATCGTGACGCTCTATCTCGTTAACTATTTCGATAAAACCATGTGGATTGTACAGCTGCTGGTCACGATTTCCATGGCCAGATCCATACATTGTTGAAATGGGGTCGAGCCTCTCAGCTATTGCAAGAACAGGTGTTAGTGTAAAAATGAAAATGTCATTTTGCTAATATTCAACTAATAAATCATTTGTTTCTCAAATTTTCAGGCGTAAGTAATTGATAATATTGTAACGATTATGTAGATTGTAGTTGTATAATTAAGTAGATGTAAATTCATAGAAAATTAATATAAGTGTACACAATACACATGCCAGGAATATAAATATCCGGAATCAAGGAATGTGCATTTATTCATAACCACAAACTTTAGTGGGCAATTAAAAATTGTTTTGAAATTTAATATACTGAAATTTGATTTAGAGGATGTTGATCCGTGTGAACGGTCTTCACTGAACCTTACAGTTACACTCATAACTAAATACATGTCTCCGACTATATCTCTATATTGTTTATTGTATTATAACTATAATTTAAATTTGTTAAGATTTAAACATATTATGTTAACAAATTGTCAGCAGCATATAATTTATGTATGATTCTGACGAATCTGTCAGAACAATTAGAATTCATCAAAACGAACAATCATTGCAGAAGAAGAATTGAAATAAAACGTCTAGTGTTGTCTGGTAATGGCATTACATCCTTTTAATGGCTATACTAGTATTTCAATTTTTATAAATATACCAGCTTGTAGCAAATACTAGCTTCTTCTAGTCTGTATAACACTCACTCAGGAAAATTGTTGTACAGAACATGTTGAGATTTTATTTTCAATAACGTGCATGCTGCTTGTCAATATGGTGTTTAGTAGTGTACATTCATCATTTGCTAGACACTCGCGTGATAAATTTATCAAATAAAGAACAATCGTAATTTGCCGTACTGAGATTACTTGTTAAAAAACGTCCTGTTAAAATGAAGCGAGAGAATGGTTTTTGAGGATTGAATTTTTAGACATATATTTTGAAAGAATTTCCTTGTGTTTGAAATCTCACCAAACTTTAATACTCTTTGTTACATTTTTCATCTAACTTGCCTTTTGTGGGCAGCAAGGTAGAGGGACTGACCATCAATCACACCATTGCATTATATGGATATAATCATAGTCTGAGCTGTAAATTCAGCTCTAATTGGCATGGATGGAAAGATGGTGAGGAGAGTTAGAGGGAGGAAATTTGTTGATAAATTAGTTGATAAATTTTTGGACAAAGTATACGCTTCCAATGTTTGAAGTATCACTATCGCCATCTCAAATTTTGGACGGATTGCGGTGGGAGTAAACAGCACCATCTAAAGAACGAATTAGAGGAACACAATTTAGAGAAACAAAATTTAAATATCATTGCCATTACAATGAATATAAATATCAAATGAATATAGATATCAAAATCCAATGATAACTTTCATTTCATTTCAAGATTAAATTATTTTACTAGGAACAACTATTGTTGCAAGTACTTAAGCACTGGGTAGCAAAATACACGCCCCACACTTTAAAGTCAAGTAAATCTACTTCATACTCTAGTTAAAATGATTGATAAAAAGTTTAAATTTTGATTTTTTGAGATAATGGCAAAGATGGTCCAGTATGCTGCCATCGTAGGACAAGCAACACTAGACCCATTCTGATCCCAGACATCAACTGTAGAAGCACATGAGTTATGAGTAGAAACTTGATCGGTGCAACAGTCTTCTGGCTGAGATAAAGGTGGCTAGGGTCTTCATGAAAATTCTCTCTAAATTCAGTTGTTTCTGATAGACAGGAGTGATATCTATCAGCTGATTTTGGCCCCATGGAAAAATATTGTTCCTAACCAACATTTTCAGTGGTCAAAGGTCAGCGCTTATGTGTAATTGTAGATATTTTGTATATTGGGCGAAAGATTTTCAATCGCGCCCTGAAACACAGTTATACAAATCTATCTTATCCTACATTTTTTGAGCAATTATGCTCAAACTTTCAGGATATGTTCTTATTAGGATCATTTAGAAGAGATCTCTAGAACCAATTTTAAGATATACTTTTTTTTAATTTTCATTCGATTTTGAAAATCTTGGACATCCAAAAATCGTCACAAAACGACACTGAATAATCATCTTAGAATACCTCTTCAGTATATCCAAATTGTAGTGTATTGTAAACATAGTACTTTAGTCTTTACTTTACTAAGTACAACTCATACTAGTTTTAGCTCAAGTGAGTCTCGAATCAGATGGTGGTCCTTAGATGAATTGCTTAGATGGATTTCAGGAAAAATAACAATAAGAGTCCCTACTCCCTGAAATATTGTCTGGTTTGTGATTGATCGCTGATGAATCTGATTTATGCCTCAGCTATAGTTTGCTGCTGTATTCAAACTCGTTGATTTCATGTCTTGGGACAATATGCGGTATGACAATAAATCACTGATGACTATCATGTTACATCTAAGTTATTACATTTTCTTCAGAACGGTCTGACGGACGATCCAGAACTCTAACCCTCTACTCTGAAATTTGGTTTTCCTTAATATGCATACAACTATTAAACCTGGGTTGGTTTTCTTCAATGAATATGGAATAAAGGAAGTAAGAGAATACAATATGAAGGTGTGGTGTGGTAGTGCATAAAAGGTACCGTTAAATTTAGATGTTGTCAGTTAACTGACTGTAAAGCAGAGGCGGCAATTTGAGGGTGTCCAGGCGGCCGGGGACGCCTTTAAATTTATAATCCTGGTGGCAGGTGCTATAAAATAGACATAGTAATAAGTAATAAGTGATTAGGAAAGATAACAAATCGCAATATCAAGACTCGTTTACAATCAATGAAACAAGAAATTACAATGAACAAGAAATTAAATTATAGCACAATTTTACAGAATAAAAAGATGGAAAACAATTCATAAAATATAAAGCCCATTTTGTGTAAGACTTTTGTCCTTGACAGCTAGTTTGGTTTAGGAAGGACAGGAAACAACCGGGGCAAGAAAGCGGCGTGCCTGAAAGCTTTTGCACACACCGTACACGCAAGTGTCAGTTAGGTTTTTTAGAGACAGGGCACATAATTAGGACTAGAGAAGAAATATTGTTAAGTAGACATTAGGGGTTTCTGTATTATAGTTGTTACTATAGGGTTGCTGTCCTTGTTGTGACACAACGTCTACACAAAAACATGCTTATTAAGTTTTATATCAGTGTGGTTCAAGGATATAAAATGTGGCTTCAAGGTTGATATTTAAGAGATCTTGCGAAAGATTAATGGCCTTTGTAACACAATGGTTAGATAAGCAATAAATATCTTAAACTATACAGGCAAATTAAAAATTTCTTTATACATCATTCTAGATTAGATTTAAAAAGTTCAAAAAATATCAATTATTTTATTAATACCTTCTCACGACATTCTTTAACCTCACAGGGACCACTTGTGAAAACATATCCTAAGGAAATTAATTGAGATGTTGAGAACAGCCATATAATGTTATGGAAAACAATATTTGTTGCAGCAAAATCTTTTACGGTCCAATCAAGTCAGGGCGGTGGTTATGGCTGATTGGTCTAATAGCGCACTTTTAAGTTTTCTCCGCAAGCCACATTACACTAGAAGTAAAGTCAGTCAATCTAACCTTGGGTTTCAAATGTTAAAAATATATGGTTGACCTAGTGATGTGTGTTGTCAGGATGGGCTACCTGAAAGATAATACGGCAGGGTTTACCTCGACGAACATGTGTAACCCACATATAGGGATATTGGAGCACGGAAATTCATTATCTTGTAGAGCTCGAGGTAACTGTGGTATTATATAGATTTGTGAATAGCTAGAAAAATATTAATGCTTGAAAATCGGTTTGGTGAGTTCTTATTAAGAAAAAATTTTTGGTCCGTTTCTGGTGTCCTATAGGCCTAGAACGTGCACAAGTCTTAAACTTAACAAGGTACGCCAGACCTATCACCAAATAGTACTCTGAGACAGTACTGTCTGAGGCAGAAAATATTGTCTTATACGTTTTTTATTTTTGCTTAGCTGCCCCACCCAATACAGACATACAGTAGTCAAGATGTGATCGAACAGAGTAAATACATTGATTGTTGTAGACAATCGAAGGGAGTCAGCAAGTCTACATAAAGTGGATCGTGAATGATATAGGGTTCGCTTAAGAGCTTTAAAGTGTCTCTCCCCATGATAGGTTCTCGACAATTATAACCCCAGAAATGCGATGAAACCTTTTTAGAATTGGATAGTTGTCTATAGTTAGTACAGGTTCAGGGTGTGATAAATCACTGAATTAGGAACCTCCAAGTTGGGGATTGAATTGTAATGTAGCACACTTGGACATGTTTATATGTAACTTATTTCGCTCTCATATAAACTGTAATGATGACAAAAGCTCCATTTCCTCGTTCAAATGGCCTCACGTTTTGTTATTGCCGACAACAATATATTAGTATCATCAGCAAAGGTAACAATGATCCAAATTTTAGAAACTGTTTGATGATTTCGTTCATATGTTATATAATAAGGTTCTACAGATAGTAATGAGTTCCAAGAATTAACCCTTTGGGAAACACCAAATTGAAGAATCGACTTCTATGGTATGGTATAGGGAATTCTTTATGGATTTGTTATTCTCCTACAACTTCAGTGTATTGTCTACTAATCCATCACATGGTAGTTTTGAGATTCAACTGGTAGCTCTATACTCTTTACGAAAGAGAGGTTATAATTGCAACTCCTCTCAAACTCCACAACCTCTAATTTTATAAGAAGTGTTGATGATCAAAAAAAAAAAGGCGATGGTGTCAAAAGCATTGCTAAGGTCAATGAATATTCCTAAAACATGATACCTTAAGTTTACGAGAATTTCGTAATTAAATCTACAGAAAATTTGGACTGCAAGCGATGAAGAGTGAGATTTCCTAAATCCAAACTGTGTCTCGATATAACTCCCTGGGAGCTAACAAATCGTATATTCTAGAATATTTAGCTTTATCAAAGATCTTCCCGAAGACGGCAGTGTGGATATAGGACGGTAGTACTCGATTTCTTCTGGGTTACCATTCATAAAAACAGGTAGTTACT